TTACATGTAAAAATTTACACGTAAAATGCTTTTAAAAATGTAAAATGCAAAAACCATAGTTGCCTTGCAGGCAATACAAAATAGGTCACAGGCCGCAATCGCTGACTCTTGCTCTGATTCTGCTCTTACTGTTCCAACCTGGGACAAATGTTGCTCAATATAAGTGGAAGATGAAAGAGAAGATCGACGTATCAGGTTTTTCATAATTCAGTTTTCCAACCAATTACTCTGACATTTGCCCCAGGGCTCCATCTTCTGTCTTCTGAGCCTTCCTTCTGCTTCTGAGTTTAATATGATCCCAGGGCCCTTTCCACTCTAACCAGAACGCATCCCTTCCATAAGCTTTGGACTTGGATTTACACTCTTAATGCTGTCCCATCTGCTCTCTGTCTTCCATAGGATCTTCTGATCTTTCTTTCTTGTTTTCCAGTTTTATAAATTAATTATGGCTAAAAATATATATCTTTTCTAAGAGACAGATCCCTTTTATCATAGGTAGAAATTAGGGCAGAGGGGAGAATAGAACAGCTCTAGCTCTATTTTTAAGGGAAATTTTCTTCACAGTTATGAGCCTCAAAGCAATGTAATCAACAAATACTTAAGAATTAACTATGAGTTTATTTCTGTTTTTTATTTTTCATTGTATTCCACTTCTCTTTCTTAGATTAATATTTTATTGAGTTGGACCACATTCTTGAGTAATTATTTAATAAGTGTTTTGAAAGTGGTATAAACTATTTGAGCTCTTGCATTTGATTTCACTTTTTAAAAAAATAAATCTGAATCTTAATCTTTTTAAAAATATGTTTTTATTGATTTCAGAGAGAGGAAGGGAGAGGGAGAGACAGAAATATCAATGATGAGAGTCATTGACACTGTGCCTCCTGCACGCCCCCTACTGGGGATCAAGCCTGAAACCAGGGCATGTGCCCTGACCGGGAATCAATCGTGACTTCTAGGTTCATAGGTCGACGCTCAACCACTGAGCCATGCCAGCCAGGCTGATTTCACCCTTGAATGATAGATTAATTGGATAGATAATTCTGAATTTAAAATAATTTCCCTTGGAACTTTGCTTTGAACACTTTTATTATCAAGTGTCACTAATGAGGAATCTGCTACCAAGATCTTTTTTCTTTATAAGTAATCTATTCTCTCTTTTTCCATATAAAACCATCTCTCTCTGCTTCCAGTAGGGCAGGAGAGAAACCCAGCAAAGCTTAGATATTATAAAAGCCTTATTAGGGGGTAACAGGACATGCAACTAGGACCTAATTCTTAGTAAATCCACTTGGGTTTTATTCTCTAATATTAAAAAATCCCCAACATTTTGATATTTTGAATGTAAAGAACAAAGGCACAAAGCCCATCCTGCCATCTGGTCAGTTTCTGCAGTTCTTTCTTTAGCCTGTTTCCTCCTATTAGAGGCTTCTCTGGTTAAACAAGACATGCACATAACAAGTTTCTCTCTCAGCAGGTCCCCCGATACAGGTGTCTCAACAATGGTCCGCACTTGGCTGAGAAGGCAGAAAGGGGTGGGTTCTTACTTCTGCAAGCTTCAAGCCGAGGTGCAATCAAGAACGCCAGTGGGGCAGATGCATTTCAAACGTTCCGAGCAGCTCCTGCCTCATGTTAAACAGGCATCTCAATTCTAAAATATTCATGGCTGAAGTTTTGAAGACGCCCACCTCCCCCCACTGCTCTCCCAGTTTTCTCCATTTTAGTAAATGGAACCACTCTCCACGCCATCACTCAGGCCAAAATCTGAGGGGTAACTCTGGATTCCTGTCTCCCTCAGTGCTGTTTACAAGAGTTGCTATTGCATCTCCAGAAAGTACCTCCAGTTTCTCCACCTCTCTCCAAATACACAGCTACTGCCCGAGGAAAAGCCACCCGCCCTCTTCCAGGACAGCTGCACGTTTCCTTACTGTGCCCCCACCTCTGCTCCTCCCTCCCACCAAGCGGTGCTCCATAAAGCAGCCCAAGCGATGCTCTAAAGACATAATACAGACCTGTGGGGCCCCCCCTCGGAATCCTTCAGCTGCTTCCTGATACGATTTTTTTGTTTTTTAAATATTGGTTACTTTTTTTAAAAAAAATATACCTTTATTGATTTCAGAGGGAGGAAGGGAGAGGGAGAGAGAGAAACATCCATGATGAGAGAGTCACTGATCAGCTGCCTCCTGCACACCCCCGACCGGGAATCGAGCCCGCAACCCGGGCATGTGCCCTGACCCGGAATCGAACCCCGATCGCCTGGATCCTAGGTTGATGCTCAACCGCTGAGCCATGCCCGGGCGGGCCTAATATGATTTTAATAAAATCTCTGCCTGGCCTTCTCTATGACCAAAAGGCAACCCACGCATCCTCAACAGGGGACGTCGCCCCCGAAGAGGTAGAAAGTGGTGTTCCCGAGAGTGGAGGAGGGGAATAAAAAATCTTCCTCTTTCCCATGTATAAAGCACAGATACAGAGCATATATAACATCTATGGAATTAAAATGTCATGGGGGAGATGAGGAAACAATGTCTAAAAGGGTTCCTAAGGGGGCCGTAATAAAAACGGCTGAGAAACACTGCTCTGACTTCATGTCAGGCCCTTCCTCCCCTTACCCGCTGGACCAGTGTTGTACATCAACCCTTGTGCGGTGTGTCATCTGCGCTGCCTAATGTGGTAATCCCTAGCCACATGTGGCTATGGAGCACTTGAAATGTGGCCACTGAAACAGAGGAACTGAATTGTTAATTTTCACTAATTAAAATTTAGATTTCAACAGCCACATGGGCTGCCGTATTAGACAGCGCAGCTCTAGACACAATGATTGGTCTCCTTTTGATTCAAGACACCAAGTTTTTGCACGTACTGATGTACCTGTTAGGATGCTTTGCTGCAAAAACAAAAATTCAGAGAGGATTATATAGTAAGAAAATAAGTTATCACCCTGAGCCAAAAGGTTGCAGGTTCAATCCCTGGTCAGGGTGCAACTGATCGATGTTTCTCTCTTTCCCTCCCTTCCTCTCTCTAAAATCAATAAAAACATATCCTCAGGTAAGGATTTAATAAAAAAGAAAACAGGCCAGCCAGCACGGCTCAGCAGTTCAGTATCAACCTATGATCCAGGAGATCAAGGTTCGATTCCCAGTCAGGGCACATGTCTGGGTTTCGGGCTCGAACCCCAGCAGGGGGCTTGCAGGAGGCAGCCGATCAATGACTCTCTCATCATTGATGTTTCTCTCTCTCTCTCCCTCTCCCTTCCTCTCTCTGAAATCAATAGAAAATATATTTTAAAAAAATAAAGACATTTTTAAAAAAGAAAATACATTATCATACAAAATAAGTCCAGATATAGACTCCAGGGTTGGCTAATTCACAGCTCAATTTCATTGTCATGTATCCAAGTTCTTTGCATCAGGTTCACTGTCATTCCCAGTGGATAAGCACTGCCTTTAGTTGTTCCCCTAATGGTCACTATATGGCTGCAAGGGTACCAGGCATCACATCTCAACCTAATGTTCAAAAGAAAGAGAAGTCAGCATCTTTTGTTTCTCCATTTGAAAGTGAGGAAAACTTCTCACATCTCATTAGCCAGAATTCTGTCATGTCTCTATATAACCCAATGACTAGCAAGAGAAATGAGACGACTGTGTGGCTCAGATCATATAAGAGCGATTCCCTGGGGTCAGACATGGTGCTGGTCCCAAAACACATGGCTGTAAGAGAAGAGTGGATACTTAAAGAGGTGAAGGCGCTGCAAGAAAGGGACTTGCACGCCTTGTATGGGGTGGCACATGAAAGGAGAACCTCACCCACCTTACTACACAGAACTAAATGGAACCAGTTGGGCATTTCCCAATGCCAACGGTTCTCAAAGTGCTGTATCTCCGCCAGCAGCATCAGCATTACCTAGACTTTATAGAACTGAGAGTCTCCAGGTTGAACGCAGACCTAGTGAATCAAACTCTGGGGGTAGTACCCAGGAATCTGTGTTTTAACAGGCCTTCCAGGCATTTCTGATGTACCCTAAAGTTTGAGAACTATTATCCTATCTCACTGACTCTCAATCGGGAGCAATTTTGTCCCCAGGGGACATTTGGCAATGTCTAGAGACATTTTGGTTGTCACAACTGGAGTGTGGAGTGCTACTGGCATGTAGAGGTCAGGACAATGCACAGACAGCCTCCACAACAAAGAGGTGTCCACCCCAAAATGTCAACAGTGCCAAGGCAGAGAAACCCTGTCCTCTGCCATGAGGCACAGCCAGCTCCTTGGGAGGGGCTGTAGCCACCTGGCTCTCCATACTAGATTCGGCTCTTTGAGCCCTGTTGGGACAGGATTAGCATGCCTTAACCACTCTCAGAGCAGGAGTGTCTGATCAACTCTTCTAAGCAACAAATCTTCAGGCTTTCAAGCCCCCCAAATCAGTCCCAGGACTCTCACTTAAGCATCCATCCCTGATGAAGGAATGAGCAAGACAGTGCTTATCTTCAGAATGAAAAAAGGGCGTATTTTATAAGGGGCACAGTCAATACGTGCATCAGAGGTTCAGAACCGGCCTTTTCGGGAGCCCAACTCCTCTCTTAGAAGGCTAATAGGCAAGCTTTTTCCATGCTTAGGAATTTTTCTGTTCAGTGGAGATGAGGGAGCCTCCACTGTCTTGAGCCTGAGGGTCAGGAAAAGGAGATCAAGCATCAAGTTCTCATCTACCTTTCCTATACAAGATGCAGGCGAGAAACCTGCACCTCTGTGGATAGGAATTCTCTCCGTGAGGGTTTAACATTAGAGGAGAGCAGCAGATCACATCAGAGTAGCTAAGGCCACAATCAGTTCAGGTCAGACCCATCACATACTAAACCTATTGTCAAAAGTCTTACAGTGAGGCCTGTTCTACCACAGCCTCTTTGGGCACTTTATCTAATATAACACAGTTCCGGAAATGGATGCAATGGTAAAGTTTATTTTCATTATGTTCTATCATTCCAATCATACTCAAGTCCTGGGAATTTGTCTTGTCATACAGAACCCAGTATATTCCTGGGAGAATTTTTTATTTTTTTGAAAAACAAAAACAAACAGGATACAGTTCATATGACAGTTGGGTAGCTTAACAAACATCTGGCTTCTGTGGGGTCTCATCTGGGATTGTAGAGTCAACTGTATCTAGAGGTTGCCAGTGGCAATTCATGAGAGAGTCGTAGAGTTCTTCACTTTTCACCATAAACTCTTTGTTTAATTCCTCAATATTCAAATAGAGATTGGGATCTGCAGAAGCCAATAATGCATGTGAAAAAAAATACTAGAGTTTGACAAGACATATATTAAAAATGGCTTACAGTTTTTAAAAAACATTAGCAGGAGATATTTAAGGCAGTTAACGTTAAAATTTTAAATTGTGTTTCCTTTAAATGAGGCTTGAAAACAGAAATTGAGGCTGAAAAAGAATTAATGCTACCAGACTCAACGAGCATCTGGATCGTGAACGAGGTGGGAGTGGGCGGACTCTAGAGAGGTTCTGGAGAGGAACAGACAGTATTTGGAGATGGAGTCAATCTGGGGTAAAAGAGAAAGTGGGGAGGGTTGAGGATGACTCCCGAGTTTCCAGCATGAGCACCTGGGTGGATAGGGTGCCAAACAGTGAGCCAGGACCAAGTCCCTGACGGGGCTTTGAAAAAATAACCATGCTGCTCTACCTGCTTAGTTAACAGACTGACATGTGAATAGATTATATGTAGCAACCGATTTAGAAAAAGGGAGGAGCCTGGCCTTCCTTCTCTGAAACCCTGCGATGAGAGGAGGTGCTCTGTTATCATGAAAGCATCACACCTAGATATTCAGTTCAAATTGCCAGGTTCCAAGGTCACTGACTTTTTTATATGCAGTCCTTTTCTTTTCAC